GGTGACTTGCGATGGAGTAGAGCGTCTGTATACCCGGCAGACCGCTTGTGCAACAGACAGTGCTAAATGTAGCGGTAGTAGTAGATGGTCTATACGCCCGGCAGACCTCCTGTGCAACAGACAGTATTAAATGTTTAGGTAGGAGTAAAGCGTCTATACGCCTGGCAGACCGTCTGTGCAACAGACAGTGCTAAATGTTGCGGTAGGAGAAGAGCGTCTGTATTATGCCCGGCAGACCGCCTGTGCAACAGACAGTGCTAAATGTAGCGGTAGGAGTAGATCGTCTATAGGCCCGGCAGACCGCCTGTGCAATAGACAGTGCTAAATGTTGCAGTAGGAGAAGAGCGTCTGTATTATGCCCGGCAGACCGCCTGTGTAACTCACAGTGCCAAGGGCCGGTGCAGCGTATCTGTGGCAAAACTGCCTGGCTGCCCCAAGGCTGTCTGGCGCCGCTCACCAGACAAGTTCTGGCGCCGTGGCTGCTGGCGGCGGCGGTGGTGGCATCCGTGGCATGGCAGTTATGTATATGGCATGGCAGGTAGGCAGGTATAGGCTGGAGGATCGTGCTTCTCCCCGCCTTACCGGCATCAGCGATGGTTTTTTTTTTTCAAGCCACCAAAGCACCTCGGTCTTTATGGAGCGTTGGACTTTATGACTACTACGATCTAGAGAACTAGGAACTGCTAGATCAAACAATTATATTTATTACTGAGATGAAAGATTCGTTGTGTATTTCGTAGATAAACTGAGTGATGTCAAAATGAAAGAGGTTAACAATTGCTGTTACATTTTTGTTGCGCGGTGCATAAAGATGCAACAAACGTCGATCCCTTACGTGTCTGATCCTTCAGAGAAACATTTAATAGTTATAGCCAACCAAGTTTTAGAGTGAAGAAGAAATTATGCAAATCGCCTTGTTCGAATACCTGCTCTACATTTCTTTTAATAAAACATTTAAATACAACATTCCTGTTTTAGAGATTTAAATATGATAATGTACGTCATCAAAGGTGAGAAAGTATGCCATGTATACTTTCTCTTGCTAGTCCTTGAAATAAGCATTTCACTGTGAGGCATGCGAAACCGTAGCCATGTTCTCAGCTGCCTCACTTACCTGCTCTCTGGGCCAGCGTCTGCCAGTGCTCGCTCAGAAGTGACCAAGCCAAGTAGAAATGTTGTGTTCACTGCCACTGTACTCACTGTACTCACTGCCGGCTGCTACAAACAGACGCGCGTACACTCACTATTCCGGGTGCTACCTAGTGACACTCTAAAATAAAAGTTAATGTTTTATCAATTGTGAAACAGAACAAGAAAAGTACGTACAAGAATCGGCAACAGGTCATGGGTCTATTTCTTCAGAGCCGACACTTCTATTCTATTCTATTCTATTCTATTCTATTCTATTCTATTCTATTCTATTCTATTCTATTCTATTCTATTCTATTCTATTCTATTCTATTCTATTCTACTCTATTCTATTCTACTCTATTCTATTCTACTCTAGATGTTTACACTCACTATTCCGGCCGCTACCAAGTGACAAACTAACATGGAATGTTTACACTCACTATATACCGGTCGCAACCTAGTGACATATTAAGTCACAAACATGATCTCCCTTGGGGTGGCGCTCTACTGCGTGAGCTAACTTTTGGATCTTTATCACTTGGTTCTTTATAGGAATTGAAAATTATTTACTCTGGTTGATACGCATAAAATGATACGATATGGCGAAATAGAAACGCAGGGAAGTGGATGTTGTGACCTAAGATACTTTGAGGAAAACCTCGCGTCATCGTGGGGTTCTCCCGAAGACATCGCTTACCCGCGTCATCGTTGTTAATGTCTGAAATTATGTAACATTTATAACTATAATCAAAATATTGTTTGCTGTGAAAATATAACTCTCTGATATCATGAAGTGTGGTGCATTAGTAATTCGTTGGCGTAGTTCATATGGGGAGCTATGATTCGAAGATTTCCAGCTCCTATTTTTAGTTATTTTTTGAAATAATTATAAATATTGGGATGACATGAAAATTGTCAGCTATTACAGTTAACTAGAAGAGAAAAGCGAAGCAATCAAAAGTAAAAAAATGATGATGTTGCAATTTTTGCAGTGTTTTGTGATCCGATTATAGGAATCTTATTGATGAATGACTCTAATGCCATGTTTATGTCATGATTACAAGGGAAAATTTTACACGTTTGTTTTCGAATTGTTTCAATTTATTTGGATTGTCTCGTGTTGTGCCCTAATGCGCGATGGATGACAAACTTCAGCAAGAAGTCATCATTGAACGGAAAGGTGCCATCAGTCTATCTCTTTCACCGTACTGGCTTCCAGAATAGAATGGAATTAAATATTGATGCATAAAATTAAAATATTTATCATTTAATTTTACATTTCATAGTGAATTTCATTTGAAACCATGCGAATTATACACGTGGTATTTGTTTTTCTCGGGCAGTAAAGGTTAAGTTGGATTACTCGATCTCAATCTGGCCTCAATGTTTTAATCGGATCTCGTATACATGCAATGTATTTGCGTAGGGTTTGGGCAGCCATTCGAATGACAATATAGCTGTAGCATTAAATTGATGCCGCCTTGCAGTAGCTCTGACAGTGCGTAGATTGCGACCATGTTTGCTCAAGTGTGTCGCGCACACCGCCTCAAACGAACTGAGATTTGGCGCCTATTGCGTCTCGACTGAGCGAGTTTTTTTACTATATCGCAGTAGCTCGTTCACTCACTTCACTGCGACACACTATATATGCGCTGTGGTATCTGAATCAGACCAAACTTGACTATACCAGGTCACCGCCCGGTCCGGTAACTTGCTACGACATAGGTACAGTAGTTGACTTGCTTGTGAGTTGTGACGCACCGGGTGTATGTTGACGACGACATTCCAGTTTGAACAACGACCTTTCAGTTTGGTGGGATTTTGAAAATCATTGACACTGATCATTGACACTGATGAAAAATCACTATCTCGATCATTTATCATTGTTTGGTTAAAGCTAAGGATTAAAATAGGGCATTTTCAACTGAACATATATATACGAGGTTGGCTTAGTTTAAATTTTTGTATCTGTTCGAATATATGCGTTTGAATGTAGTTTATAAAGCTAACTTGCCGCAATGAAAGATACTTAACATTACGTACGATAAATGAATCGGCTAAACTCCATATATATATTTTTATTTACTATATATGGTTCTTTTATTAATTTGCCATTCACTCAGGTGAATCTTGAGTTATTTTTGTGATAAAGTTTTTGGAGTGGCTATGAATCACATGAAAAGTGTCTCTACACAAAGAATGGACACATTTTTTTGGCATATTATCGGAGAACACCAGCAACGGAGCGATATTAAATGGTGTGTATGAAACATTTTTCAATAACGACCAACTATTGCGTGATTCACCTGTCAAAAAATTCTATTCCTGGACATTGCATCTTTGCGAAGGAACAATGACAGTTGATGTCATTATCAAGAGGTAGCGCAGGCCGTCACAGAGCAATGGCTGGAAGAATGCGTTTCTATAGTAATTTGAGCTCCGACAAAAGACGCAGTGAAGCCTTTGAGGCTAACGGAAGAGCGCGATCGCTTTGCTGCTGCTCGGGGACTTGTTGCAATGGTCGCTTCTTTCTTCGCCTAACCCTGTGTCACCTGATCAAAGAGAAGCTATTTAGCGCGTCTTTCAGCCTTGACATTATAAAGAAAACCCGATATTTCTTTTGTGAAGAACGGCAGCAGCAAAGTTGCTTTGATGCTGCGGGAGTTGACAGCGAACGTCATGAAGAGTTGAGGCAAGACGAAGTGCTAGGGCTTCAACTGTAGCCTGCAAATGAGCTCTCTTCTTACTGAGTTGTAAATCTTACTTTTGAGAGTAAATGAACGCCGATGAATGTCCACCGTTAACGGACCATATGATATACTAATGGGGAACGAGATGGAATTAATAAACTATAATATTTGTTAGTAGGTGACTTTGAAATTGTGAAGTAACATTCTAAAGTTTGGCTAAGAAACTGAAGGGTACCATCGAATAGACTTTCTTGTGCTGCAACGTAAAAAATACGTAGACGTTATTGGGGGCAAAAGATGGCAACGTGTGCCCAATCGTCTCAAGACGGTACAATTGGTGTTTTCGTTGTCTTTCATATCGTACGTCTAAATTTAACGTAATGTACGCGTATATACGAACATTTAAATCAACGCACTTTTTTACAGAGTATTTTTCGCCACTCAAAAATTGTGACGGCAGTCGAATGCAGTTTCGGTGCCCAATTTAAGCTGACTTTTTTGTATGAAAACGTGAATAAATAGAGGAAAAGTGGTGTTCTTGATGTTCTTGCACTTCCTTACCCATGAAATTTAACTGCGCACACATGCACTCTGTTGTTGAAGGTTGAACATCTTTTAATTGAGAAAACATTCACGTGAACACGCTAGAATCTGAAACAATATATAAACAACCTACATTTTTTTCCTGACGATGGAAACTTGCAGCGGCCTTGACGGCAGCATAGCTTCATGCCAGACATGACTTGTGGCGGGCAAAGGTGCTGACACAAATGACACGGCATGTTTTGCCTGACCATTAAAGGAACGTCAGGGACATGACACCATTAAACGCTAACATTTCCCATTCATATGCGACCTCTGACTTTCATTTTAAAAGAGGGGTATATATACCTTGATAATTTGTGGTGTTCATTGAGTTTTCCAAGATATTTCCAACAGAGGAGCAAGTAAATTAAAAATATTCGCTCACAAAACTTCACTTTGTTGGCGAACAGATTATTAAAATTATAGATAATTTTAATTAAATATTAGTTTTGGACTCTTGCTTGCGTAATTCACTGATTTGACGAGTTCAAAGTCCTAATAATTTCTGCCCAAGAACCCCGAATGTGAATCCAATGCCTAACTGACGACTTTTTTTTTACAGAGAATAATTTAAAGAATTTCAGGAAGCTCTAGTAAATTCTCATATGATTTGCTTCAATGTTTTCCATATAATAGATATCTACTCTTAAAGAGCCTCTTGCTCTGTTTATTAACTGAGACTATGCTTTGTCCATATATTGTCGACGGTCAAACCCTCAAAGAACAACACGTATCTGCGCTTCAGACTCAAGCGCTGCTTGCATTTCATGCCAAACATCCTCGTGCCCGGGACCACTCTCTCTCCCTTCATCGGAACAATTTACTGGTCGCCCTCCATCATAACTTCAAACGAATGATCTGCTTTGCTCGCACGCGTATTCCCGAGTACAGAAAACGAGCACTACGAGTAGAACCCACTGAAAAAAACCAGTCCGAGTTTTCCACTTTTGACAGACAGTTGCCCACCCAAAATATGCCTCCTTTTTCAGCCAATAACAAACAATTCTCCCCAATCAGTAAGTCCTCGTTACCCGCCAACAACAAACCATCTCCCCTAAAGTCCCCTTCTTCTATCGACAACACCCGACTGTCACGGGGCAGTAAGTCTCACACCCCGCGGTCTGACAGCCCCATCAGGGTCCTCAGTCCCCTAAGGTCTCCTCGGAGTCCCGCTCTGCGCTCGTCCAATTCAGCGACCTCTTCAGATGCTTATAAGAATGAGGCACTCCGGTGAGATATTTTAATAATTTATATATGTCTACTTTTATTATTCGTAGTATTGATTTTATTAAGCCATGCTGAAAAATTTCATGTTTAAAATTTTAATTAAAAACAATTTAGAATTTATGTTATTATTTCCTCAAGCGAAAATCCCATGCTTAATAATTAAAATATTATTCAAAGTATACTTTTTAGCCGCGGTCATTTTTTAATGGCATCGCGTTGTTGATTACCTATGGGCTAGCAGATCTCCATAGAGGTCAACGGGAACGCCAATAGGATGCTCTCCCATCCCCGCCTATTTTGTAGCTTATTATGTATTCGATAATCGTGGACATAATTAACATAATTTTCATTTTATCCTAATTTTTTTAATGCCTGACATATTTTTTCCATCATCGTACCCCCAACATGCTATTTTTTTTTGTTTTCCTCTTGGGTACTTGAAAATTAAAAGCAATCGCTCGCATGCATTTGCGTTCCAAAAGCGAACTTTAAGGCTTTTCGTTAGCTCAAAATCAATTTTAGAATTATTTATGTATAATGTATATAAATCATTTATGTATAATGTGTATAAATTTATTAATGCATAAAAAATTATTTATGTAGATGTATAATTACCTAGAGTAATTGTACTTATACTTGAGATATCAAGAGGTGAGACTCCTCAAGCTATTTTGAACGCCTCGCCCAGGCATGTCGAGTAGCACAGACTTCTTTCGAGAAGACCATTTCTCATGCGAACTTTACTGGGTTAAGACTTCTTCAAGGAGTTGCTTCAGTCTCTGTCTTGTTTAGAGGCTACATTGAGTTTTTTGCTGCACAGCTTCCACAGACGCGAGGCTTGGCGCCAGAAAAGCTCTCTCTTTCGGAGCTTGTCCGTTCTCCCGGACACAATAATATAGCACCGCGGCTATTGCGTCTTACATGTGATTATAATGAGAGAAAAATTAATTACTATTTATACAGAGCTAATTAATCATGGGAGAAAAGGCTAATTACTCTTTAATATTGAAATAGCAATTAATCGTATTAGGCATAATCTATCATGGCGTATAACAGAAGAATTAAGGAAAGAACCATCAGAACGTGTACTGTCCCTGACGAACGAGTTGACGTGTAAAGGTCGACGAAAATTCTGTGCAAGAATTTTCTTGTAGGTTTTTCGTCCCAAAATGTTCAATTGTTTTATTTTTCAAATTAATTTCAGTTATCAAGCGGTGCAATAAGAAATTTTCTTTTAGAAATTAGGATTGGCTTTACACTGAGATGAATTTAAATCTGTGGAATGTATCAATTGAATAAAAAATGAATCTGTTGGATGAAAAATCAAATATTCATTTACGATTATGAATTGAAAATTTTACCGGTACGAACTATTGTAAACCTGAATTAATTACCCATCCAAATTATCCAAATTGTTCTCGCGTCGTTTTGTCTTGTGTTCCTGTATACTCGTTCTTTCTTATTTACGATAAAATCACGATAGTGTTTTATAAGAACAATATTCAAGATACACATCGAAAGATACGAGTAATGTTTTAGGCATCGGCCTCTTTACTTTTACTGTATATTGCAGCATACATCTACCAGTTATTACTTTAAACTTCCAATTCGCAATTTTACGAACAATAATTAATCGATCTAAATTAAAAAAATCAGGTTTAAGAGTTATACCTCATGGCGAGCGTTGTGGGTAGCGCACGTCTACGCAGTGAACTGACCTCGACCTGATTGCTGGTATAGCCTCCTGCACACAACTGCGTATAGCCTCCTGCACACAACTGCGTATAGCCTCCTGCACACAACTGCGTATAGCCTCCTGCACACAATATAGGCCTGTACTCAAATTCAACGATTGTAGCGTGAAGAAATTTAGCCCGCAGATTTTTTACTGTACATCTAACTTTTAGCACATCCTGATTGAAAGAATATACACTTTTATTTGTATATTAATGATATCGGATATATATTCTTTATACGATCAATAATTGTAGTCTTAAAAAGAAAATAATTCTAAGTTTGTGCTCATAATTTTACATGTACCGCAAAAAAACAAATGAATATTCAAAATTTATTCAATACACCAAGCAAAAGCCTCGCCTGCAGGCGACATGTAAGGCATGGTCTGCAGGCAAAATGTGGGGCATCGTCTGCAGGCGGCTTGTAAGGTATCGTCTGCAGGCAAAATGCCGAGGCATCGCCTGCAGGCGGCTTGTAAGGCATTGTCTACAGGCGACTTGCAAGTTGCAAGACATCGCCTGCAGACGACAGACAAAGCATATCGCCTGAGCAGCGCTGTTGCAGCGTCACAGTCGTCGCACAAATCCCGAGGTTTGGCTTCAGAAGCGCGGGCCTCGAGGCGCTTTGCTCACAATGCCGAGGGATTTGCTTTAATTTCCTGGATTCGCTGCGTTTAGAAAACCAAACAAAGACGCTCTGTTATTGCTGCTCTCCTGACGACGCCTTCTGTCGCCTCCGACTTTACTGTTTCTATCGCCTCCGACTTTACTGTTCCCATGGAACTTATTGCGAAGATGTCGGCTGGACAATGGTTACCCGCCATTAATTAGTCTTCGCTTAATTTTAAAAATATAATGGTTGTTACCACGTAACTTATTGCGATGTCGGCTGGTTATACCCACCATTGGTCCACCTTTAATTTTATGAATATAATGGTAATTATTAGCAGCTTTATGAGACGAAAAATCCGTTAATATACCACCGTCTGTCTGGAGTTGCTTCTGACTTAAATAAATTAATTTGAACAAGCAGCTGACCACGTAACTTATATTGTGAAGATGTCGGCTGGACAATGGTTATACCTGCCATTAGTCTTCCCTTAATTTTAAAAATATAGTAGTAATTATTAGCAACTTCATGAGACGAAACATCCGTTTAAGTACCACCGTCTGGAGTTGCTTCTGACTTAGATACTTTAATTTGAACAAGCAGCTGAACTGTGATGATTTACACTTTAACAGTAAATGAGTCATGCGTGATGTGCCGAAATTAATATGTATATATCATAGTGTATTTAAATGCACCTGAGGCCATAATTCGTCTAAATTGGTTCCAACACGAACAATAATGCTGCCATAGAAGCACGAGCCATTGGAGGAAAAATTAAGCCAAAATTTTGCAAAATTTTTCATATCTCTTCGTAGGCTCAACGCCTAATTTTACATCAGCTGCATATCTCAGTTTTCTGCTTAAAATTCCTCGTATTCACGTCATTTTAGTAAACTTTTCTAATAATACCCACCTAGAGCGCGATATTTTTTGAAGGAACATCTATTTTTATACCTTTTGTAAGGCAAATTTTTTAATCCCCTTAAATTGTTGCAATTTTTTGATACTCGCAGTCTTGTTACTTAAACAGCTTGACAATAAGTCAGATAACACGGATGATAAATATAGTGTGTCAGAAGCGTTCTGGCATTTTTTTAGAATTTTCATGTGACATTTTTACTGGCATTTAATGGCTGATTTATAGAATAATGCTCTCATTGCTGTACTTTAAAATAAAAATAAAATACATTATAGTTGAAAGAAAGTAAAGTTCCTGCTTGTTGTGCTACTGGAATTCCTTCTTAATAGAAAATTTCTTTTTGCGTTAATTAGGATTAGCTGAGAATGAAAATATGGCTTTAAAGATGATTTAATTCATTGAGTAAACTTTAAAATCAAAATATATAGAAGCGACAATGAACACATGAATAAATTGAGTGATAATTGAGCAGCAAACGATCAGAGTCTGGAGGCTGCTTAGCTTAATTACTCCCTGCGGCTCCTGGAGGCTGCTTAGTTACTCCCTGCGGCTTCTGGAGGCTGCTTAGTTACTCCCTGCGGCTCCTGGAGGCTGCTTAGTTACTCCTTATGGCTCCTGGAGGCTGCTTAGTTACTCCCTAGTCCCTATGGCTCCTGGAGTCTGCTTAGTTACTTTCTGCGGCTCAAGGAGGCTGCTTAGTTGCTCCCTGCGACTCCTGGAGGCTGCTTAGTTACTTCCTGTGGCTCCTGGAGGCTGCTTAGTTACTTCCTGCGGCTCCTGGAGGCTGCTTAGTTACTCCCTGCGGCTCCTGGAGGCTGCTTAGTTACTTCCTGTGGCTCCTGGAGGCTGCTTAGTTACTTCCTGTGGCTCCTGGAGGCTGCTTAGTTACTTCCTGCGGCTCCTGGAGGCTGCTTAGTTACTTCCTGCGGCTCCTGGAGGCTGCTTAGTTACTCCCTGCGGCTTTTGGAGGCTGCTTAGTTACTCCCTGCGGCTCCTGGAGGCTGCTTAGTTACTCCCTGCGGCTCCTGGAGGCTGCTTAGTTACTCCCTATATGGCTCCTGGAGGCTGCTTAGTTACTCCCTATGGCTCCTGCAGGCTGCTTAGTTACTCCCTACGGCTCCTGGAGGCTGCTTAGTTACTCCCTATGGCTCCTGGAGGCTGCTTAGTTACACCTCATGGCTCCTAACATCCCGCTTTATGACGACGCGCGGTTACATCTCACACGCCGACGCCACTGCCTTTTATTACTCAAATTAACGCTTCATGGCTGACCCTAATCCTTTAATGCTCATGCGAATGAATTTGTCTTCATATTCACGAGGTTTTTCTTGCCTTAGTTGCGCGTTCACCTTTTATCGCCCCTGCAGTGCATCATGGTCTCCCGATTGACAATGCTCATTTTGCCTTAGAATAGAATAGAATAGAAGTGTCGACACTGAAGAAATAGGCCCATAGCCTGTTGTCGATTCTTGAACTTTTCGTGACTTGATTGATTCACAAGGGATCCGGTCTTTGGAACCCGATCTTTCCATAACTGACGATTGATTGAGATAGCTGCTGGACTTATTACCTGGTCCGTAATTTGCTAGGCATTTTAAGACTGAACATATGCTCCTGCATGCATAGCTTCGTCTAGTCTGTTCTTGAAGGCGTTCATACTCGGAGCGTCAACGATGCTAGCAGGGAGGGTATTAAGTAGCCTATTTCAGTCCAGCCGAACAAGTTTGTTCCCATAGTG